GGGCGCCTGGCAGTGTGCGGAGAGGACTCAGCCCTTTCTGCTCAAGGGGAAGGCAGGCGGCCGGGGCCATGGGTCACCTGCCTGTGGAGGGGGGAAGGGGGAGATGGGGGCGGTGTGTGGCTTTCTGTGGGGAGAGTGTGGTATGACGAAGGTGTGGGGGGAGGAACGGAGGGGTGCGATCCCTCTGTGGGAGAGGGGTGCGTGTGTGGTGTCTCGGTGGGGAGAGTGGGGTATGAGGGCCGTGTGGGGTCTGGATATGAGACGTGAGGGATATATGTGTGTGCTGGGGGGAGGGCTCTGTGAGCAGAGGGTGATGTAAGGGTGGCTTGGGGTCTCTGTGGGCAGAGGGAGATGTGGGGTTCCTCTATCAGCTTGTGCAGATGTAAGACCAGCAGAGGTTGGTATCCCCCGTGCAACCCCTGAATAGCGTGAGTTGAACCAGGACAGGTGTCATCAGAGACTTGTGCAACCCTGCGTTTTGGTAGCCAGGGAACTGTTGCACTGAGTGGCTTGTGGAAAAGAAAACCTCATGAAATTTTTATTTGCTGGGTTTAATGGGCCTCTGACAGCAGAGGGGAGGTATTGCATGAAGTCGAGGGGATGCTGTCATCTCCAAAGTCTTATGCTGCTTGAAAGCAGATGCTGAAAAACGATTGCTGCTCGTGCACAAAGGAAGGATGGAGAGGATGAGTAGTGGCTGCAGGCCCTGTGTAATTGAATTCCTTGAGTTTGAGATTTCAGAAGCTGAATGATGATTTCTCTTTACCTGCCCAGCTGAGTGCCATACTGTTGGCTATGTGATTCAGCATAGAAAACATACTAGTATTTAATGCGTTATTTACTTTAATATAACTTTTGGAATACTGTTTTGTTTACTATAGTGTTAGGATAATCATTAGTATTTTTGTACTTGGACCAAATACTTGCACCCCTCTTTGGATGTTTAATCAACTATAGACCCTGTCTGTGATATCAGGTGTTTCTTTTCTAATACCTGATTCTGCAGTATGTGTGCAACTTACTTGTTTATCCCATATGTGCAGTAAAGTACGTTTTTATCTAAGGGTCTTTTTTAATATGAGCATCAATGAGGGAACGAGGAGAGGAAAAAAAACAAAAACCAAGTTGCTTCTTGCAGATGCAGAATAGAAAAGTAATATGAAGAATTTCAAGGGGTCAGTTTTTGAAATAAGGCATTTAAAGCATAAACCAAAGTTCTCTTTTTATCTTCTTTCATGACAGTCAAGTAATGTGCTGTGCTTACGCCTTAGTCTTGTGACCTAAGATCACTTGATTGCCTTACTTGTGTGAAGCTGCAACTTGAGCTGTTCCATTATTTATTTTTTCCCTTATGAGATTCTTAGGTGCAGCAATTGAAGCTTCACATGTCATTTACCATGCTTGGTTTATGCTACACTAATTCTGGGCAATTCTTCAAGGCTGCAAGATGCTGAATGCTTGATAAAATGCTTGATGCTTCATGTTGTCTAAAAGATGGTTTAAAACCCCTGATTTAAGAATTAGATGCTCCCTTGTTTATCAGAATGGTACTAGGAAAAAAAATGTCTAAAGGTTATTGCTTAAATCTGCATCCCATGTAAAGATACCTGTTTAGCTAAAGATACTTTTGACCTTGTACTGGAGGTACCATCACTGTATTGAACTGGGTGACTCTCTGCATAATGACAACTGCCTGCATGTGTTTTCGCATAAGATGCTTCACAGTGGTTTAACTAAAAGGGGGTTTGTGTGTGTCAGCTAACAGGCCTTTATGTTTTCAAGGGTCTTGGAAACTCTCAGAGGGAATATGAAAGGCAGGTTGTACTCTACAGCATCCGCAATCAGTTACGATACCGGAATAACTTAGGTGAGTAAAGAAGCGAAGTAACTTGTAATTGCTACCCGAATCTTCTGTGTGGAAGCTTGTCTTTACTGTAAAACTGCAAGAATGAGCTCTGTTCTAAGGTCCCTCCTTATATGAAAATAAATACTTTTAAATGATAAAACATCAAGAAAAGTCTTGACTTTTGAGTCCATTTGGCAGCTTTTCTAGCAAGTGCTCTTTAAGGTTACTGAGCGGGCAGGTGGAACTGAATTCCTGCT